TGGGGTGGGGGGGAGGGATGAGATGGGGAGAAAATTTGGAACTCAAAATCTTGTGGAAGTGAATGTTGAAAACTAAAAATAAATAAATAAAAATTTATTAAGAATTAAAAAAAAGAGATAACATGTAAACAATTAGTCACATACAAGATATATGCAAGGTAAATGGGAGATACCGAGGGAAGGCACACACAGGGGAGGAGGGCTACAGGGAGAAGTGCCTGCCCAAGGTGTGATTTGGGCTGAGTCTTGAAGGGAACAAGGGAAGCCAGAAGGTGAAAGTGCAGAGGGAGAGCTTTCCAGGCATGGTAGAAGACCAGTTTAGAGACAGAATGTCACATGCGGGACAACTGTCACTGAATCTTGGAGAACACAGAAGGAGTAAGCGTAAGAAGACCAGAAATGGAGGAAGGCACCAGGTTGTGAAGGGCTTTCAATACCAAACAGGATTTTCTATTTGATCCTAGAAGCAACAGGGAGGCACTGGAGTTTGTTGGTTGGTGGTGGGGTCGGGGCGGGGGGGAGTGGCAAGCTTTTAGAAAAGTCACTTTGATAATTGTGTAGGGGATGGATTGGAATGGAGCAGGGAGAGCCAGAGAGACCCGCTAGGAAGTCTTTGCCATAGCTCACCATAAAATGTCGGATCATAGGATTGAAGGGGATCTGAGAAACCATCTCATCTAACTCTTTCATTTAGATGAAGAAACCAAGGCCCACCAAGGTCCTTGATTGGCCCAAAGCCACACAAACCATAAAGAGCCAAGCTGGGATTAAAATTCTGCCAGAAGGCCCTCATCACTTCAGTGCAATGGTCCAGCTGCCTGGTCTCCTTACCTATCCACGGCCATGCTCAGAGAGAAATAATAATGACTAATGTTTATAAAGTGCTTTTAGGTTTGGAAAGCACTTTTCTCACAATAAACCTGGGAGATAGATACAATTATTATCTCCATGTTACAGATGAGGAAACTGAGACTGAGTCAGCCCAGGGTCATTGGGCTGGTAAGTGTCTAGGGCAGGATTCAAACTCAGGTTTTCCTGACTCAAGGCCCAGTGCTCTATCCACTGCACCATGCTGCTTGCTTCTCAGCCCCACATCATCTTTAGGATAATGGTAATAGCAGATAGGTGGCTAGGGTAGAGTGCTGGGCCTGGAGTCAGGAAGACAACTTCCTGAGTTCAAATCCGGTCTCAGACACTTAATAGCTGTGTGACCCTGGGCAAGTCACTTAACCCTGTTTGCCTCAGTTTCCTCATCTGTAAAATGAGCTGGGAAGGAAATGGTAAACCATTCCAGTGTCTTCGCCAAGAAAACCCCAAATGGGGTCACAAAGAGTTCAACATGACTGATCAACAATATGGAGGAAGTAATTTTAAAATCTTAAAAATGGGGGAAAAAACATTCTTTGGAGAAATGGGGACCTATGAGCACATAATACTACATACTTTGTCAGATATGGTTTTCATGTTTGTTGCTTTTGCTTTTTTTTTTCTTTGATGAGAGAGTGGAGACAGTTTCAAGGGAAGTCTTTCTGAGAGGGTGATCCTGAGGTATATCTAGAAATTATTGTGATATAAAAACAAAAGACTCCAATTAAGCATTCTTTTAAAAGTGAGAGGGATGCTGTGTAACTAATGGGTCCCACTGATTGACCTCTCTTTTTAGCCAGTATCAAATCATTTTGAGGATTACTGATTTCCTATATAGTTTGAGATCTGGCACTGCTGGGCCTCCTGCCTTCTCACTTATTTTTTCATTATTTCCTTGAGGAACCTTTTGTAATGAATTTCATTACATTTTTTTCTATCTTAACAAAATAATCTTTTGATAGTTTTATTGTTATAGCATTGAAAAAGGAAGTTACTCGAGGTAGTATAGTCCTTTTTTTATTAGATTGACTCTAATTATGAGCAATTAATATTTCTCCAGTTATTTGGGTTTATCTTTTATTCCTGTAAAGAATGTTTTATGATTGTATTCATCTAGTTCCTGAATAGGTCGTGAACTCCCAAATTCTTTCTTTATACATTATATAATTATGTTACGTGAAATTTCTCATCTCTTCTTGCTGGGTTCTGTTGTATTATCAAGATCCTATACTTAGGGCTGGAAGCAACATTACAAGTCAAGCCCAACCCTGTACTTTTACAAATGAAGACACTGAGACCAGTGAGGGAAATTAAGGTAAATGACAAGAGGCTAGAAATTTGGAAAGCAAGCCAGAAATTTATTAGACACCAGATAGAAAACAACAATCTCCAAAGTTACTTAGGAAAGAAGACTGGGGCACAAGGCCTGACCCCTCACCCCACTTCCAAAAGTCCCACCCCCTTGGAAGAGCCATGGAGAAGAGAGTGACCGCTCCCCAAACCAACACACCCCATTAGCTCCTGAACAAACAGTGGCCCATCTTGCAAACAAGGAGAGAGGGAGCTCGGGATAGATCTATATTCTTCAGAAGGCTCCTGAGGCTGGCTCAGGCAAAGACCTCCTTCATTCCTGTTTGCAATGGGATGCTCCCTAGATCCAATAGAGGCTTTTTCCCTTCACTCTGCCCAGCCCCTCACATGTGGGCCCCTACTGTTTATCGGCTAGCTTGTTAAGCACATCCAAGGCCCCCGGCTGCTCTGGGGTCAACTGCTCCAGAGAACCCTTCTGCATCCAGGCAGATGAGCGTGTCTGTTGATGATGTAGCCCGAACAGGTCCCTCGTCTTGGTGACACCCATTGGCCCCTGCTGCCTGGGGACAAACACTGCCTCTTCGGTGCCATCTGCCCGGCCTTCCTGCTCCGGAAGCTGCCTGGGCACAGATAACTTCTGATGCAGCTCCTGGGCCTGCTGCCCTAGGGCTTGCCGGATCCTTTGCATTCCTGGAGTGGGAACATCAGGACAGGATGGGGAAGGGAAGGGAGAGGGCTGATGCACAGGTAGGTGTCCAGAGGCAGCTCTGGAGAGTGGTTTGTGCAGGAAACCCTCAGACATCACAAGCTGTTAGAAATGAAGCAGTTAGTTCAGCCCCCTCATTTTACAGAGGAGGAAACTGGGGCCAAGAGACAGTAAGTGGCTTGCTCTATGTCACATGGTTGGCAGAGAAAGATTTGAACTCAGGTCTCCTGACTCTTGGTTTTTGTCTTTTTTTGTTTTTGTTTTTGTGTTTTGTGGTTTTTGTTTGTTTGGTTTTTGTTTTGTTTTGTTTTTGGTGAGGCAATTGGAATTAAGTGACTTGCCCATGGTCACACAGCTAGCAAGTGTTGTGTCTGAGGCTGGATTTGAACTCATATCCTCCTGATTCCAGGGCCAGTGCTCTATCCACTGTACCACCTAGCTGTCCCCTGACTCTTATTTCTTACGGCATAGCATTATTCCATTACACTTATATTATACCTACTACCCATATTCCTCTGAGTTGGTTTGCTAATCTGGAAAATGACTAGGCTAAATTAGATGATCTCTTTTGTAATATTAGTAACACATGTTCTGTGTTCTAAGATCCTTCCAGTTCTAACATTCTGTGTTCTAAGGTCCCTCCCACTTTTGACATTCTGTGTTCTAAGGTCCCTCTCAGCTCTGATATCCTATGTTCTGAGGACCCTCCCAGTTCTGACATTCCACAATCTGTGTTCTAAGATATCCTGTGTTCTAAAGTCCCTTCTGGTTCTGATATCCTTTTAGCTTAGCCGTTGTATGTCTACCTGTGATACTCTGTTTTCCATGTCCTAAGGTCCCTTGCAGAGATAACATTCTATGTTCTCTGCTTCTATCTCTGGAATTCTTTGTTCCACTTCCTGCCCACATCTCCCTTAGACTGTAAACTTCCCAAGAAGAAGCGTTGTTTCATATTTTCATCCTAGCACAGCCCTTGGCACAGACGATGAGTCTGGGGCTCATTTATTCATTGATTCAATAAGACATATCTGAGCTCTGACACTTGCTGCTTGAAAGACCCCTCCCACTGCTTGATTCCAAGTTTCACTTCACCCTAGAGACCTTTCCCTGCCAGAACTCCTTCAGCATTGAAATAACCACCATTTCATGTGTATTGTGTCCTGTCTTGTCAAATAGATTCTAACTTCCTTGAGGGTAGGCACTATATTCTACAGATCTGTGAATGTCCCCATTGTGCTTTAACACAGTCATGTTTAAGTGTTACAATAAAGATAGGAAATAAGATTGGTTAGAGACATTGGTTAACAACTGGGATGAAAAAGGGTGGTCCTGACTGATGAGGGGAGGAGAGCAGAGACCAGAGAAAGCAGCTCAGAGGGAGTAGCATTTAGAAAACAAATTGATGCTTTGCCAAACATTACTCTACCCACCTGCCCATGCATTCTACATTGCAGCCAAACTGGCCTGTTTACTGCTCCCTGTGTAAAAATTACATCTCCTGCCTCTATGCTTGGAGTACCTCCCCTGGACTCAGTTTACTTATCTGTAAAATGAGGAAATGGATGGGGTAGCTTCTAAGGTTCCTTCCAGTTCAAATCAACAATCTTACATTCCTCTAATTCTGTGATCAGTGTGACCTCGGGGAAGTCACTTTACTTAAGTTGGCCTCAGTTTCCTCATCTGTACAATGAGGGGGTTGGATGAGGTAGTCTCTGAGGTCCCTTCCAGCTCTAAATAGTTGATCCAATACCTTGTGCTACTGTGTACCCCACAGTGTACAAGTTTAGAGATGAAGGCAGGTGACAGTTGACCATGCTTACCCAACCGCAGCCGGTGGATCTTGTCGGTGAAGACGAGACGGAACCAGCCAGGCTCAAAGCACTGGAAACCCTTGCCACAGGACAGCAGTACTTTGTTATCCAGGAAACGTCGACATAGCAACAGCTCCTCCTCAAAGGTGTCCATGTGGAGGTACTGGGGGAAAGTAATGGACATGGGGTGGGTGGGGGAAGAATCAGAACTCAGGGAGCTCTCCTCAACCTAGCCAGATCTCTAATAAGCCTACCCCATTCCCAGCATCCTCATTCACCCATCCTCACCATGAGCTTCCCTCTTTCTCACACTCACCCTCCTAAGGTCTATCCAAATGTATAAGCCAGAATTGCGGTTGAGGAAAGGGATGCCCAGGGTTTTCAGCTCATCTGTGATGTAGGTGTGGGCAGCCTTGAGCCGGGAGTGATTAGTTGGCAGGTAAACTTGATTAATCCAATCTACTCAGGGAAAGAGAGAGACCCCATAGTTTCTTATTCCTTCAATGGCCCAAAGATGGACCCCCCAAATCCCATCCTTTCTTAACTGGCTCCCTCTAAACCAACAATAAACATTAAAGGCAATTTGTGCAAAACACAATGCTAGGTGATGGGGAAGAGATATTTAAATAACAGCTCATATTTCTATAGTACTCCATGGTTAATAAAGTACTTTCCTCACAATAATCTTGTAGTCAGTGTACTATCATCATTTTATTTTTTTTTTAGGCAATTGGGGTTAAGTGACTTGCCCAGGGGTCACACAGCTAGTAAGTGTCAAGTGTTTGGTCTGAGGCTAGTTTTGAATTCAGGTCCTCCTGACTTCAGGGCCGGTGCTCTATCCACCGCGCCACCTAGCTGCCCCTACTATCCTCTTGAACAGGATGTCCTTAAACTCAACATGTCCAAAACTGAGCTCATTACGTTCTCTCCCCAAACCCTCTTCTCTTCTCAACTTCACTGTTACAGTGGAGGGTACCACCACCCTACAGTCACCCAGGCTCACAATCTAGGTATCATCCTCAAATTCTCACTGCTCCCAAAGAGCCAATCTGTTGTCATTGCTACCTTCACAAGATCTCTTATGTATAACCCCTTCTCTTCTCTGAAACAATCACCACTCTTTTGCAGTCCCTCATCACCTCATGCCTGGATTACTTCAACATCCTGCTGGTTGGTGTCCCTGCTTCAAGTTTCTTCCCATTTCCAATCAGCTATCAAAGGGATCTTTCTAAGGCACAGGTTTGACTATGTCACTTTCCACCCCCATTCAATAAACTGCTGTGATTCCCAATCATCTCCAAGATCATTAAATATAAAATCCTCTAACTTTTACAGCCTTTCACAACCTGAGCCTTTCCTATCTTTCCAGTCTTTATTCTTTACTTCCTTTCATTTACCGTATGATCCACTAATACCAGCCTTTTTTGCTTTTTCTCACATTCCATCTCCAAAAGCTATGCCTTTTCATTGGCTGTCCCTTATACCTAGAATGTTCTCCCTACTAGACCCCACCTCCTGGTTTCCCTGGTTACCTTCAAGACAATTCAAATCTCATCCTCTATATGAAATCTTTTCCGTTCCTCCTTAACGCTAGCACCTTCCCTGGGAGATTACCTCCAGTTTCACCTGGATATATCTTATGAGTACATGGTTGTTTGCATGTTGTCTCTCCCATTAGAGTGAGATTTCCTCAAGGACAGGCACTGCTTTTTGCCATCCTTCATTTACTTTGGCATATAGTAGGTGATTAATAAATGCTTGCTGACTTGAGCCAGACCCTCAGAGTCCCAAATCAATCAAGTCTTTATTAAGTACTTACTGTGTGCTGGGTACTGTGCTAATGGAGAAGGCTTTCTACCACACATGATACCTCTCTTGAGTACAGGCTATTATGCTCAAATCAGAACATACCCGGAGTGTTTCATTCAGTTGTGGGCACCACATTTTGGGAAGGAAATTGACCAACTGAGCCATGTCCAAAGAAAGGCAACAAGAAGAGTGACATTTAGTGAAGTTTGAAGCTATGAAATCCATTATGTTTAAATTTAGGCTATTAAAGCTCAAAATGGTACCAAAACTTTTGGGATACCTTGTAAACAAAGATTTATTGAAAAAATGATATGTTTGGACTGGAAAGGAAAGACATGGTGGAAACAGATTCTTCATGAGTTTGAAGGGCTGTTCTTTGGAATAGGGATCAGACTCATTTTGCTTGGCCCCACAGGGCAAGGAAAAGGGTAATGTGGAAGTTACTTTGAGGTAGATTTAGACTTAATACCTAACAGTTCATGATGTCCCAGATGGCAGGGGCTGCCTCAGGATGGAAGGAGGGATGCAGGGAGGAGGGAGGGAGGGAGTCACCTTCACTGGAAGTTTTCAAGGATCACTTCTTATGTATGTGTCAGGTGGAGGTTAGCATTGTTGGTCTCTGAGGCCCCTTCTAAGCTCTGAGCTATTGAGTTCAATTATGCCACCTCCAAGTCCAATGCCAATAATCACAGAACTGAAAGATCATTGACCTGGAGCTGGAGGGAGCTCCGAAGGCCATCTAGGCCAACCCCTTCATACTACATATGACAGATCTGAGATCCAGGGAGGCAATCACTCATTAAGTACCGACTATGTGCTGGGTACTGGAAGACCAAAAAAAAATCAGTCTTTGACCTCAAGAAACTGACAATCTACTGAGGAGTGGAGCATGCTACAACATGTGGACCATTAAATATATCTGGAATAATCTGAGGAGAAGGGAAAGAATGCTAACAACTATGGTCATCAAGGAAGGCCTCCCATTGGATCTGACCCGTGAGCTGAACTTTGAAGGAAGCTAAGGATTCTAGGAGGTAGAGAAGCTGAGGATTCTAAGAAGAAGAATATCCTATGAAGGGTAGCCTGGGCAAACATGGCAGCAGGAGCTGTAGGGCTAAGGTTAGAGACCAGCATGTGGGTCAACGTAGCTGCAATTTAGAGAATTCAAAACAAAGCTGGAAAGGCAGGCTAGACCTAGACTGTGAAGGGCTTTAAATGACAAGCTGAAAAGTCTATATTTTGTTCTAGAGAAAACAGGAAGCTCATGATGGTTCTTGAGCACAGGAGTGATGGACAGACTTGTGCTTCGGGAAAATAATTTTGGAAGCTGTGCAGAAGAATGGTTTGGATTCCAGTCTAGTTGAAGTGGTCCAGATGTTCCTCACATGAGGAATTCCATCTCTTGTCCCCATGCCTTTGCAGGCTGCCCTAAAGGCCTGGAGTGCACTCCTTCGTCACCACAAAACCTCTTAGAATGCCTAGCTTCCTCAAAGCTATACCTGAGCCCTTTCACTTTGTAATATTTAGTACTTTCTTATGTGTACATGTCTCTTTCAACATAATATAAGCTGCTTGAGGGCAAGGACTTATGTTTTTGTCTTTGTATTTCTGGTGCCCAACATAGTGCCTGATACATGGCAAGTGTTTATTGGTTGACTAATTGATTGAGAGACTAGAAGCCAGGATTACAAAGTGCAGGTTAATGCAATAGTCCAGATGAGAGATGGTAAAGGCCTGAACCAGGGTGGTAGCCCTGTGAGTAGAGAGAAGTAGGGGTGCCCACAAGAGATGTTGTGAAGTCAGAATTGATGTGACTTGTCAAGGAACTGGATGTAGGGACATGAAGAAGGGAGGAAGAGTCAAGGGTGACTCCAAAGTTGGAAAGTTAGGTGACTGGAAGGAAGGATGGTGGTGGACTTAAAAGAAATAGAAGAGTATGGAGAAGGAGTTAGGGAGGAAGAAGGAGACACCATGTTCCATTTCTGACACACTGGGTTGGAGATACTTATGGCACCTCTAGGTGGAGATGTCCAAAGTGATGCAGGCCTGGAGCTCAGATGAGAAACTGAGTCAAATGCATACAGTTGTCCCACAGAAGCTGATGAGGTCACCAAGAGTTAGGACATAGAGAAAGAAAAAGGACTCACAGTTAAGGAGTAGGACATGGATGATGATCCAGGAAAGGAAACTGAGGAGTGATCAGAGAGAAAGGAGGAGTACCAAGCAGAGTAGGAGAAACAAGAGATGCCCAAAGCAGAAAAACTCCAGAAAGGAGGGAGTATTCAGGAGAGGGTGGTGGGGAGCGTTCTGTAACCTTTAAAGCATTCTGTACCATAAATGATGAAATTTCCTAGCATCTCATTGAATCCATCACTGATGTATAATGGCGCACACCCCTCCTCCATCCCACCTCCAACCTCCCACCACCACTGGATCCAAACAGTCACCACGGTCCCGCAGCAGCTGAGCCATCTGGTATTGGGTGATGCCACTGATGCCATGAAAGAAGTAGAGCTTGGCCACGGCACTGGATACATCCCTGTTTTCTGTGTAGAGCGCACCAAAGCGGATCCCAGATACTCCAAAGTCCTAGAGAGAAGGCACACCCAGACAATCTGTCATGACCCCCCCTCCTAGCTGTTTCTACTCCTCCTCTCTAGGCAATATAAAACCATGATGTTCACCTTGCTGGTTCCCCACATGACATGGGTCCTTTGAGGGTCTGGCAGTCTGCAGGGAGGACAAGAGAAGGTAGGGTTATAGGAGAGTTGGTATCAGTTCTAGAATGTCATCAAGTTATCAGAGGTTGGTGTCAGGGTAGAGGACTCAGCATTACTTTCAGTGAGCACGGTCAAGGAAGATATTCTTTTTCTGAAGCAGAAAGAAGTCTATACTATCAGGGTCATGTAAGCCCTGACTGCAAGTGTTCCCAGATGTCTGACACCAGCCAACTCATGAGAAGAAGGAAAGACACAGAGGCTATTGTCAAGGATGCAGCTGTTGCTGGCCTTGTAACAGAGCACAGGTATGTGTAGAGAGCATGGACTGGGTGTGCCATCCCTGAAGGGGAAAGTCCAGTAAGAATGATTCCCCAGGTCACGCTGGCATACCTGGCCATACTCTAGGAATGTCTATAGCAGAGGGTAATTATCATCCAACCTTTGGTATTTCATTCCTAAGACCTCAGGCATTCTGAAGCACAGCCTGACACACAAACATTCCCAAGTAGGGCACAATTTTAGGAACATCATTCTGGGTCTCTCTCTACATTTAACTAGTGTCTGAAAGCAGGCTTATAGTAGGAAAGAGCTCGTGCCTCATTTGGGCTGTGGGCAGGAGCTGCTACCTGCCCACTTCCTCAGCTCAACTACCCTCACTGCCTGATTTCAGTTAATATTTGGGGGCAGAAGTGTCAAACACACCCCATGTGGCCCATAACTCTCCTGAGCATAGCCCAAACCAATTAAAATATTAAAATAAAATAAGATAAATTATTATAAATTATGAAATAAAACTATCCTATCTGATTTTAATGGGTTAATATATCAATAAAAAATATACAAGTGTGGTTTTCTAATCAATGTGTGACATGCAGGGATCCTTATGTATGATTTGGTGGTCTCCATTTCTATTGGAGTTTGACACCATGGCTTTGGAGTGAATGCCAAGCTATACAGGTTCTGAGTGAGAGGGAGCATTGTTTTAGAGGAATAAGAAGGAATGACCTGGTGAAGAAGAAATACTTCCCACTCCCTCTCCCTCCCCCCACATGCCAGAGTTTGCCAGCTCACCTGTCCATGCTCAGCACACTGTGGAATGTGGCCGACTCATCAAACACTGACAGCATATAGAGCTCATCCAGGATGATGTGCAGCTCATGCCTAGGGATGGGGAGGGAGGACAGTTCTAGTGAGTTCAGTACCATCCTTCTGAGCTCGATGAGTTTGCTCCCCACGAGGATTACCACAGTTATATTAACTGCCCAAGCAGCCCCAGAAGGGCCAATAAAAGGTGGCATCACCCTCTCCCAGAGCACATGGAGAAGCTAACAGCTTGCCCCGAAGTCACCCACATGGAAAGCCAAGGGGCTGGGATTCCAACCTAGGTTCAAAGCTCTTTCCATGACCCCCAGCCTGCTGCCATCCCTTCTGCCTCAGGTTCCACATCTTGGGCCCATTTTTCCCAACTCCCATTGGAAAAACCCAAAGAATATGGACAATAAGAGCAGTCCCCATCTCTCATCCCCTTGGTTTCCACTGGTGAAAGAAAGTTATATAGGGTTTACAAAGTGCTTTACAAATTCTTTCTAATTCCATCCTCGAAACAACCCTGTGAGGACTACATGACCCATGTGTTGTGAGAAGCTGAATAACTTGCCCAGAATCACTTAACAATAATAACTAAAATTTATATAGCACCTACTATGCGCTAGGTACTATTCTGAGCACTTCACAAATATTATCTCAGTTGATCCTCCTCACAACAGTCTTAAGAGGTAGATGCAATTATCACCTCCATTTTTTTTGTTGTTGTTAAGTCATTTTTCAGTTGTGTCTGACTCTCCGTGATCCCATCTGGGGTGTTCTTGGCAAAAACACTGGAGTGTTTTGCCATTTCCTTCTCCAGCTCATTTTAGAGGTGAGGAAACTGAGGCAAAAAGAGGTTAAGTGACTTGCCCAAAGTCACACAGTTAGGAAGTGTCTGAGGCTGAATTTGAACTCAGGGCTTCCTAACTCCAGGCTCAGTGCCCTACCCACTGAACCACCTCACTGCTTTATGCAAATGGAAAGTGTCAAAAGTAAGATTTGAACCCAGGTCTTCCTGACTCCAGGTTCAGTCTTCCATCCACTCTGTCTTGCTTGATTAGAGTACCTGGGTCATCCAGGAGAGGACACTATGGGCCAGACCCCTTGGCAAATCTGAGGTTTGCTCTTTCTTCAAGCAGAATCACAAGTCTTTCTCAAGGCTTAGGAATACTACTCCAGTGACCTCCCATGGCAACCCACATTTGTTAACAGGAACAGAAACAGCCCAAGCCCAGAAATCATGTGAAAAGGATTAGTTCTGGCCCCAGCTCTGCTTCTAACCTGCTCTATGACCTTGGGGGAACCAATTCACCTCTGCTGATTCCATTTTCCTTATCTGAAAAATGGGGATATTATGTATCTTTTGTACTTCACAGGATTGTTTTTAGGATCCAGTGATTGAAAATGATATGGAGCATTGGAGAAAGCATAGATCACTAAATGATTATGAGGTATTATAATTATTACTGTTCCTTGTCTTTGGCCCCAGTTTGATTTCTTGACTGCGTAGACAGTGGGGTTCCCTCCTCTAGCCTGTGGAACAGAGGGAGAGAGATAGATGATCATACCTCTTGGCAAACTCCAGGTATTCCAGCAACTCTCCTTGGGAGTAGATGTCACCCAATGGATTTTGGGGGTTGATGAGAATGAGACCTTTGACGCGCACCCCCTAAAATGAAGCCGAGCATCAGGGGACTAGTATAGACCATTATGCCAACCCAGCCTTACCCCCAAACTCCTTAACTCATAACTAATTCATGGTCTGACTTGGCCCCTTAATTCGGCCTTCAGGGCCTGAGCACCTTGCATCAGGGCAGACAGAAGGAGACAGACAAAAGATGTTCTTCTCTTATGCTTCTGCAGCAGCATGAGGAGAAAGGGATGGCTGAATGTTAGCATCCAGTGGCTGTTCTCTAAAGAAACAAGCCTTCATCTTGACAATAGGAAGGTGAAGAAAATCTGGCTTCCCAGAGGGAACTAGCTACAACCCTGCTCTTTCCAGATGAGCAAAGGCCAGGAGACTGGTAATTCAATTAATTACAATCAAATTCAATCATTCAGTTGAATTAAACTGAATTCAATTCAACTCAACAAACATTTACTGAGTAAGTACAGGGCCCTGGAGTACCCAAATTCTCTGAGTTTGTCTGTAAACTCATCAAGGACAGGGCCATTACCTTGCCTAAATTTTCTCTCTCCCTAATGCCTAACACATTGCATTTCATCCAGGAGGTGCTTAATAAATGTATGTTGCATGACTTGATGAATACTTGGCTCTCTTCCTCTATCAGCAGAGGCCACCCCATGGTTACAGTTCCTCTCTTACCTCAGACCTGGCTCCCTGCAAGGCCATCTCCAGTTTCTCTACAGTAAGTTGGAAGGGGCGGGTGTTGGTTTCTGTGATCTGGAAGAAACCCAAACCTGGCTGAGGTTCACCAGCTTGAATCACCATCTCAGCACTTTGGTCACCCTTCCCTAAAATCACCAACTCAAGGAGCAGTCCCTTGCCTCCCAACTGTAGTACTCTCCTGATCCAAGGTAGCCATAAACCCAGTCTTAGAATCATTTCCAGGAAAGTTCAGCACCACCTGGATGGACAGTGAGAGGGGGACCCAGCTCTGACCTTGCTGTCCAGGTGAGCAAAGACCAGCTGGACGTTCCCATAGAGGTAGATACTCTTGCTGATTTCACCATAAAAGGGAGTAGGGATCATAAGAGCCTCTGAAATAAGGGAAGAAAAGATGTCATCAGCCTCTAGCCTCTGGCACCCAGAGCACCCTTTCCACCCAGATCAATGGAACCAATCTAAAAAGCTGTTATCCAAATTACATTATAGGAGAGTCTTTGAGCTGAAAAGGGTTTCAGAGGCTGTCCAATCCAAGCGATAGCTGAACCCTTCCTCTAAAACATATCCAAGTGGCAATTCACCATTTGCAAGAAAACCTCAAGAGAAAGGAAAGCCACTGTCTCCAAAGCCAACCCATTACACTCTTAGATGGCTTTAATTGGTAAATTTTTCACATCAGTTCTAAATACGCTTCTCTTCTTCTTTCACCTACTGTTCTAGGTTTGCCCTCTGGGGTCACAAAAAGCAAATCTAATCTCTATTCCACAAGAAGGCTCTTTTAATACAAAACAATAATAATACTAGCATTTATATAGCCCTTTAAGATTAACAAAGAGCTTTACAAATATTGTCTTATTTGATCCATACAACAATGCTGGGGGCTGGGTGAAGGGTTAGGTGCTTCTATTATGATGGCTATTTTACAGTTGAGAAACTAAGGCAGTAAAAGTAAAAAGCAAGTAAATGACTTGCCCAGGGTCATACAGCTAGGACATGTCTGAGACAGGATTTGAACTCAGGTCTTCCTGACTCCAGATCTAGTATTTTCACTGTGCCACCTAGCTGCCTCTATGAAGGCAGATATCATGACCTTCAGTAGTCTCTTCTTGTCCAGGCTAACCAGCCTCCATTTCCTTCAATGACATGACACTAAGGTCTTTTATTACTCTGCTCACTCTCCTGTGGAAACGCTTCACCTTATAGATGTCCCTTCTAAGACGTGGTCTCCAGAACTTAGCATCATGCTCTGGATGTGGTCTGACCAGGGCGTACAGGGTGACTATCATCTTCCTAGACCTGGATGCTGTGTTTTGCTTAATGTAATCTAAGATGACATTTTAGGTTTTGTTTGTTTGTTTTAACCTGCCATATTGATTACTGATTCATTTCTGTGCTTGCAACCCACAAAAACCTCCAGATTTTTTTCAGATATGGTTCAGGCTAGCCATGCCTCACCCATCTTGTACTTCTGTGGTTGATTTTTTGAGCCCAAGGCAAAGACTTTACAATCATATCCATTACATTTTACCACCAGTGACAGCTACAGGGTTCAGTGGATAGAGTACTAGGCCTGGTTTTAGGAAGCTCTGAGTTCAAATTTGGCCTCAGACATTAATTGTGTGCCCCTGGGCAAGTCATTTAACCTCTGTCTGCCTTAGTTTCCTTAACTTAAAACTGGATAATAATAAAGTACTTACCTCACAGGATTGTTGTGCAGATTAAATAAGTTAATATTTATAAAAGTGCTTACGATGCCTGGCACATAGGAGGCACTTAATAAATGCTTCCATTCCTTCCTTCCATCCTTCCTTCCATTCCTTCCATTCCATTAAAATCAGCCTAAGGGGCAGCTAGGTGGTGCAGTGAATAGAGCTCTAGCCTTGGAGTCAGAAGGACCTGAGTTCAAATCTGGCCTCAGACACTTGACCCTTACTAGCTGTGTGAAGCTAGTCACTTAACCCCAATTGCCTCACAAAAAAAAAAAAATCAGCCTAATATTTTAACTTGTCAAGATATTTTTGGATCTGGATTTTATCATATAATATGTTATCTATCCATCTTGGGCCTAATTCATTTGCACATTTGATAGACATGCTATGTATGTCTCTATCTGAGTCACCGATAAAAATGGGCACGAGGGTAGGCCTAGAAATATGGGACATTCCACTGGAGACCTCCTTTCAAGTTCATATAAATGTGTCTGGTCATTTTTACCAGTTCTGAATCTAACTATGTTATGATCCAACCCATGTTACACCATCTTGTCCACAAGTATAGCATAAAAGGCTTTGCCAAATGCTTTGCTAAAATCTGGCAAACTATGCCCAGAACAAAGATTCTTGGTTTGTTTGTGTCATGGACCCCCTCGGGCAGTCTGGTGGAGCCTACAGATTCCTTGGAATTGTGTTTTTAAATGTATAAACTATATAGGATTACAAAGGTAACATATATATTGAAATACAGTTATCAAAATATTTTAAAACAAGTTCATGGACTCCCAAGTAAGAATCCCTGATTCTAGGGCATTCCCCTGCTTCTATCACAAATTCTAAGTTGGAGTAGTCATTTTTTCTCTATGGTCCTATCATTTCTATTTCAGTGATCAGTTTCTCATTGGTAAAAATCAGATCCAGAAGAGAGTTCATCTTGTTGTCCTTAATGCAATGTTTTACACATTTTGAAAGATGAAATGATCACAAAGGCCAGCCAAGAAAGTGTTACCAGAGTGGCTCTGGGAAGCAAGAACTGCAGAAGCTGTCCAGATAACTAAAGTCCCTCATTACTACCACATCATGTCTCTGTGCTAGGCTTGTAATATATTTCCCAAACTCATCATCTATTTCCTCTTTCTGTCCCGGTGGTCTGTAGTACACTCCAATGACAATATTGCTTCTGATTCTGCCCTGGTTAGTTTTCACCCAAATGTTCTCTAACAGGCTTACCTACTCTGGTTCCTAGGTTTCCTGACATGAGTATATCTTTTTAATAAACAATGTTACTCTTGTTTCTCTCAATTACCTATCTTCTTCCTTTTAAACATAAATCCCAAGCCATGTTGCTCCTCATGTTGTTTATGGCCCAGTAATAAGGTATCAGTATAAAGTAATAGAGCTGATAGATAAATGGGGGTACATTAGTAAGGTCATGGATTTTATTGCTAGCTCCTTTCTTGGACTTTGTGTCCTGTTAATTTGTGTGTGTATCTATTGGTATTCTTACTCCTCCAACAGGTTATATATAGAGGCAATTTCTACTGTTGCAAGGCAGAGAGTTTCTTCCAAAAATTTTCCTCATTCAGGGTTACTCTAGGCTTACTAATGTACCCCCATCCACCCACCCACTACATTCATATCTTATTACTGAACCATAAACAATATTTCTCAACTTGATCACCCACCTCATTTATCAGACCTATTTATCATATTTCCAAACAACTGCTGCTTCAACATAAAATGCAATACATTCTCAAAGGATGACAATAATTGCTAACATTATTACAGCCCCCTCAGGTTTACAAAGGGTTTTACAGAAATTGTCTCAATTGAGCCTCACGATAACCCTAAAAGGCAGGGAATGCAAATATTATTTATTCCTATTTTGAGGAATCATTTTAGAATGAGGAAATAGTTTTAGAAAGGTATGAAAATGAGGAAATCATTTTGGAAAGGTGTGGTGTTTCCTAGAATCACTCTGCTAGTAAGTTGTTAAATGGAAGATTCAAACCCAGGTTCCCTCATTCTAAATCCAGAGATCACCTTACTGCACCATGATGCCTCTCAAACATGGATGGCTTGGACAGCACCTACTTACCCCCAGGGTCGCACAGAACTGTGGCCAGTCCTGAGAAGACAGAGATGCAGCCATTGAAGAGGGTTACCTAAGGACAAACAACACATCAATTGCAAAGATGTATCCAGCACCCACAGGGCCAATAACCTGCCAATCATTTAAACTGAGCTAGCAGCCCTGAATACCACCCCCAAAAGGGCAAAAGGCGAGCTCCCAGAAGAGACCCTGGCCCTCTCTTAACCACTGTGGAGGAAACACCTCCACCTTCCACACCTCCACCTTCCACACCTCCACTGCCCATGCTCACTTCTGAAAAGCCCAGATTTCCCTATCAGCCTCAATTCACACCCAGGCTCCAACCCAAGGAACATGGCTCTGTCCATGCTTGACAACCCCAGGTAGTCCCGAGATAGGTGGGAGAGCTCCTGGGAAAGGACAGCTAAGCAAAACAGAACTGTGGGATATAAGATCAAATGTTTAGAGTTGGAAAGGTCATCTATTTGAACCCTCTTATTTTAAAAAAGAGGAATTGAAGCCTAGTGAAACTAAGTGACTTGAGCAAAGCCATACAGGTAATATGAGAGTGGTTGGGACTAGGAAGGAGGCAAGACAAACTTTTAGAAAGAAAAGTTCACAGACTCTACCCTATATCCTTGTTCTTAAATTTGCCCTACATGTTATCTCTCCCATTAGACTGTCAGCTGCTTGAGGACAGGGACAATTTTTGCTTTTTCTATGAATTCCTAGTACTTAGCACAGTGTCCGGTACATAGTAAGTACTTAATAAATGTGTGATGATTGATTGAATGGAAAAAGACACCCAACTTTTCTTTCTTTCTTTTTCTTTCTCTTTCTTTCTTCCTTCCTTCCTTCCTTTCCTCTCTCCCTCCCTTCCTTATCCTTTCATTCTTCCTTCTCTTTCCCTCTCTCCTGTCCCTCCTTTTGCTGTCTCTTTCTTTCTTTCTCTTTTCCTTCCTTCCTTTTCTTTTTCTTTCTTTCTTTCTTTCTCCCTCTTTCTTCTTCCCTTCTTTTGTTCTTCCTTTCCTTTTTCTTCCTTTTTTCTTTCTCTCTTTCTTCTTCCTTCCTTTCTTTTGCTCTTCCTTCCTTCCTTTTTTCCTTCTTTCCTTCCTTCCTTTCTTTCTCTTTCTTCCTTTTGCTCTTTCTTTTTTCCTTCCTTCCTTCCATCCTTCTTTTTCTGTCTCTCATTTACTTTCTTCCTTCCTTTTGCTCTTTTTCTTTCTTCCTTTTTTCCCTTCCTTCCTTCTTTTTCTTTCTCTTTCTCTCACTTTCTTCTTCCTTTCTTTCAATTGAGACAAATACAAGCTCTTTATTCTGGGACACGCAGGGTACCAGAAGGTATGGGGGTTGGTGACTCACATTTTCCGGTTTGAGTGGAGTGGGAGCCTTGCAGTAGTAGGTCAGGAACCGGGCCATTTCTTCACGAAGACTGTAACAAAGACATACAGGCAGAGCTACTAACCAGAGAACCCACGGCTTCTCTCAAAGCACAGGGTTTCTTCCCCCAAATTGTCCTCATTCTGGATTGAACATAAGATCTTTTCTACACCACTGGGCACAAACCAGGGCCAGGGGAATGTCTCAACTTTTGCTGGGAGGCTCCTTCCTGCCCACCCAAACAGACAAGGAGAGAACCAAGGACTCTAACCCACAGTCTTTAAGCTACAATGGAATGACAAACTATCCCAATTTCCCCTGAACCAGGCCCTAGGAGGCCATGCATCTTTTAGACTCAGACTATTTGAGATGGAAAGGACCATAGATATACAGGCATAGAATCACAGTGGTTCAGAGTTGGAAAGGATCTTAGAAGTCATTGAGTCATATCTATACATGGATAGGAATTCTCCCTTCAGCAATGTTATCCAGCCTTTCCTTGAAGACCTCTTGGGATGGGAAACCCACTACTTTCCATTTTAGGACAGCTTTACTCACAGACATGATGGGGCCATCTAGGACCATTGTTAAATTTTCAGTGTAAGCATTTACATCTCAGAAATTAACAATCACTACAAATCAGGGCTTGAATTATCATTTTGTCAATTGCCTAGACTTAAGAAAGTGATGGAGAAAATGGTAATAATGTATATTAAATGTGTGAGTGTGTGCATAAATTGTTTTCTGATGTTTCTATTCCTCCTGAAGAGCCCGGTTTTTAAATATTTGCCAGCACACTCCTGGCTCTACTTGGTGGGAAGCTTTTCCTTGTGTCCTATTGAAATGTGCTAGTTTAGCTGCCTAGGATCAAGAAAAACAAGGCTAATCCCTCTTCCACATGAAGACTCTTCAAAATGAAATACTTCTTTTCTACAATTAAAGGTATTAAAATCCCCAATTTTGAAGTTTGAGACCTTTTCTTATTTTTTGAGTTTTTTTTAACCTTACCTGTGGTTTTATTAGTATAGTGAATACATAGTAAGGAAAATCCCTCTGCTATTTCAGACTCAAAACAGCTCTGTAACTTACTGCATTAGTACGCTGCCCTGGGCATTAATAAGTGACTTACCCAGGGTCACACAACTAGTATGTGTCACAAGCAGGACTTGGTCCCAGGTCTTCCCAATTCTCAGGTCAGCCCTTTATCTGCTCTACCAAGGCTGCCTGCCTAAAGCTTCAAATTATAAGAGAAATCCAACAAGTTTAAATGCCATCTCCATCTTGCTCCAACCTTCTCTTGCTCCAAGTTATACTGGTCAGAAGCAGGAAGCCCAGGACTTGAACCCAGGTCTTCTGATTCTAAGTCATGGCTCAGTCCACTATATCTCACTCTTTCCCCCTTCCCCAGCCCTGCTCAGCTCACCTTGGCCAGCTTTTGAATGGTAGTAGGGCAGGAACCCAGGCTACTTACAACATGTGTCCCCTCCAGCCTGAGTACTGCAGTAAAGGAGGTTCAATGTGATGCATATCACTCTGAGTCAGCTGTTGGCAAAAAGGAAGACAGCCCTAAGGATGCCCTCCAGTACACAGTCCACTCAGGTAAGTCACACAGGTATCATTCACACACACAGGCCACACACAAAGGCTGATATTATAAATGAATACCACAAGTTCCTCTGTAACCATCTGCCATGGTGCCTGCTGCAGCGTCTACCCCTTAATTCTCACTGAGAGATAACAACCACAGAATTGGCTGATGATACTTCCCAGACATTCAACCTGGGAGGGTCCCACTTATTCTTACTTCCTGGGTGTTGCAAGCCCCAAGCGTGCCCAAGAAAACAGGGGAAGGCTCAAAAGGAGGTGTCAAGGACACAGCTGCCACTGACCTTGTAACACAGCCAATATTACTCAATACTTTGGTGTGTCTCAGGACCTCCAGCAGCTTATAGTATATACGGCGATCTTCAAGGAATACCCACAGCACGGGATAACACACAGTCACATGGAGAAGGCTACCAAAGTAGCTTGACTTCCCAGAGCCACAATGCTCTGTGACAAAACAGTCATACCTGGCTTTTCTGCACTCCCTTCTGTCAGTTCTAAAACACAGGGGCTGATTTAGGAAAACCAGCCCTAACACCTGGGTTAGCCCTGGCTTTATAGTTAGTCACAGGTATTGGTGGTGGTGGGACATGGGGGTAGGGTTTGGGGAGAAGCTGGTACCCACCTCAGAGTTATTGGCAATATCTGGTGCCTTCCAGGCCCACATACTTTTGCCCTGCCTTCCTTTTAATTGGGAGGAGGGAGATGGGGTCCAGACCTGTTATTTCATTGGTGTAGGTGACTATAATTGGGGAAGCTCTCTTTATCGATGCAGATCATCAATTTCTCCACAACTTAAAGTCTTAGAGAGAACGGCCTGGACATTGAGAGTTTAAGGGGCTTTCCCAGGATCACAAAGCCAGCAAGTCCAAGGTGGGACTTGAACTCAGGTCCTCCTGACACTGAAATCAGCTCTCTATCTTCTCTACTACATTATCGCTTTCCTTCTTGACTGCTTAGTGGCAATGGTCAAATGGCCTTCTGTCTCTAAGCTAGGTAGTGGAAGATTACCTTCTCTGCTCCTATCTTTTGTTCACTTGGGGCCTTTGAAGCTGACCTGGACACAAAGAAAGGGACACCCAGGGCAACACTTACCCGTTTGGACAACAGATCAAAGCAGAGCTTGTTTTCACTGATCCCAAAGTTAATGATGCCCTAGAGAAGGGAGGGAGAAAACGGGGTGACTGCTGGCTCTGAAGAGGAGCCTTAGTCTCCTGCTTTGTAGGCAGGGGTGCCTCCTTTTGGATCGGGGTGAGGAGGGGAGCCTAGAGCAGCAAGTAGAAGAAACAACTCCCAAAGAGGAAGACCAAGGCAAAGAACAAAGTCTCGGTCTCCTACATGCTGGCTCATTGACATCAGATTCTCCTGATCTCAGAGAAAAGAAAGTTTTCCAGTCGAGGTTCCAGAACCTGGGCTGGGACATTCTGAACCAGAAACCCCTCCATGATACACACCTGGGCCTCCACCCCACGAGCCTGGGAGCAGAGGTGAAAGGTTTCCCGTCAGTGAGACGAGGGGCTTACTGGGCTCACAAGATCTTAGCTGCGGAGTGGAAAGGTCCTCAGAGGCCATCTAGTTTAATGCTTCATTTTACAGAGAAGGAAACTGAGGCCCAGAAAGTTTAAGTGATTTGCCCAGGATAGTTCGCAATCATCAGTGGTAGTATTTGAACCCAGGTTCCATGACTAGTCTAGACCAGAGCTCTTTCCACCGTTCCTTGTCAGATCCCTCCAACCCAGCTTCACCCTCTGGCTTCCAAGACAGCCACACTCACATTGGGGTTTTCGTCTTCGTCGTATTTGTCCGCGAAGTAGGCTTCAATGTACTCCTCAGTGACACCACGTTTGAATTTGATGTCATTCCCTCGGTTGGAGAGGTACGCACTTCCCTGAAGGTGTTTGGTTCCAGGGTCACTCAGCTCAGAGAAGACCCCAGACATCTGCTCTGGTCCCTGGGGCATTCTGGCTCCCCTGGGGTAGTCAGGGGCCAAGCCCAAGCCCTGCCAGGGCATTGGGGCTGCTGGGCCAGGAGCGGCCCCACTTCCCTCCTTGAGGATGCTGAGCATCTGGGCAAATACACCAAACATTCGGAACTCGTGCTCCCGCTCCAACTCTAGGCGCCGCTGTTCTAGCTGCACCCGCCGCTCCTCCAGATGCAGGAATCTCTCTTCCATGGCCTGTTGGGATGTCAGCACCTTCAGCAGCAGTTCATCCACGGGGTCTCGGACCCTTAAGCCCTTCCATTTCCTCCTGAGCCGGTGTGCAGTGGGAAAATCAGGCTGGGGCCCCTCACTTGGGAGCTGGGAGGAGGAGGAGGCTAGATTAGGTTCACTAAAACCTGCAAAGATGAGAGGCAAGGATGAGAGAGCCATGACTTTGGCATCAGCGTGGGAGCTCTCCCCTCACCCACCATCCCAAGGTCATTACTCAATGGAGGGTCCTTAGAGTCCCAGGAATAGGCTGCCTTGTCTCAGCAATGAGTGGTTCCCTCTGGACTGGGCAAGCCATTTGGTACCGCAGTAAAAGCACAGGAGCTGGAATCAGGAGGCCTGGGTTCACATGTTACCTTTGATATTTCCAGGCTAGGTGGCCTTGGGCAAATCACTTAACCTCCCTGTGTCTGTAAAATCCAGGGCTGGACTAGATGACAACTGGGGTTCCTTCCTATGCTACATCTATGAGTCTAATTACTCACTTGATGTCTCTGAGACTCAATTTCTAAATCTGTAAAATGGGGGTTAATAGTCAAGAAGACCTGAATTCAAACCCAGCCTCAGACATTTACTAACTGTTTAACCTTGGGCAAGTCACTTAACTCTGTTTGTCTCAGTTTCCTCATCTGTAAGATGAGTTGGAGAAGGAAATGACAAACCACTCCAGTATCTTTGCTAAGAAAACCCCAAATGGGGTCAAAAAGGAGTCAGAAAGAACTGAAAACAAACAACATAAAATGAGGGTAATAACATCAACTACCTATTAGGGCTAATATGAAGATAAAATGAGATAATGTGTGTATAAAGTGCTTTGCAAAACTTTAAACACTATCTATGGGGTTTTCTTGGCAAAGATGTTGGAATGGTTTGCCACTTTCTTCTCCAGTGGATTAAAGCAAACAGAGGTTAAATGACTTGCCCTAGGTCACACAGCTATTAAGTGTCTGAGACTAGATTTGAACTCAGGTCTTCCTGACTCCAGGCCTGGCACTCTATCCACTGTGCCACACTAATAATTAGAGAAATGCACATTAAAACAACTCTGAGTTACCACCTCATGCCCATCAGATTGGCTAAGGTGACAAAAAAAGAAAGAAATGATAAATACTGGAGAGAATAAGGGAAATAGATACACTGTTGGTGAAGCTGTAAACAAGCCCAACCATTAGGGAAAGCAATTTGGAACTATTAAACTGTGCACACCTTTTGACATAGTAATAACCTACTAGGTCTCTGCCCCAAAGAGATCAAAGAAAGGGAAAAAGGACCCAGATGTATGAAAAATATTTACAGCAGCTTTTTTTGTGGTAGCAAAGAATTGAAAACTGATGGGATGCCCATCAATTGGGGGATTACTGAAAAAGTTATGGTAACTGAATGTGATGGAATATTATTGTGCTGTAAGGAATGATGAAAGGGATGATTCCAGAGAAACCTTGGAAGACTTACATGATATGATGCAAAGTGAAGTGAGCAGAACCAGATGAACAATTTATACAATCACAACAACACTGAAAAGATAATCAACTTTGAAAGACTTAGAAAGATCCGAGACAATGGCCCACCACAATTCCAAAGACTCACATATGAAACATGCTATCCACCTCCATATAGAGCAGAACTGGGCTCAGAGTGCAGACTAAAGCAACATTTTCTCTTTTTCTTACATTTTTTTTTTTAACATGGCTCATGGAGGCATCTGTTGTACACAATTACACATATTTGTAATTTTTTTTTCTTGTCTTCTCAGTGGGTGTGGAACATGGGGGAGGAGAATGGAAAGAGTTTTGAACTGAAAATAAAATAAGTCGCAGGGAGAGGCATTTGGGACAAGTTCAAGTAGAAATGCTACACATATTTCTGCATGTTCCAGAGCCCAGTGGAAAGAACATGGACTGGTGATACCTGGGTAGGACAGAGAACCCACCTCTGATGATCACTGCCTATTTGACCTGAGGCAAGTCTTTCAACTTGGAATGTCAGTTTTCTCAGCTGTAAAAGGAGCACACTGAACTTGCTGGCCTTCGAGGCCTCTTCCAGCTCTAAATCTATGATTCCAGAATCCTGTGAAGTGGCTAGTACAGGTATTATTACCACCTTCATCTTACAGATGGAGAAACTGAGGCTGAGAGGTGTGATGCCCAAGATCACAAAGGTAGCATCACAGGTGGGATCTGAATCAGGCTGTCTTTGCTTATAATAATAGCTTTCATTTGTATATTGATCTGTGGTATATGAAGCACTTTCAGAAGGACCCTCATTGCCCAGACTTCCAAGGTAATTCCAGAATGTTGAAGTGATAAGGATTTCCTTCTTTTATCTCTAATCAAAGGCTGAGGCCTTCCATTCCCCTGAATTCTAAACTGGACTTAATGCTGCACCAGACTCACTCATTGAGAGATGTGCCTTTCCCAGTCTTGGGAAAGTAAATTTTCCTCAGCTGCCCAATCTAGAGAATGAGGGGGTTGGACCAGATGCCCTCTGACGTCCTTTATAACTCAGAATCTTATGATCTTCTATTATCTTTGATCAAAATTTCCAAAGGGCAAGTTGCATTAACTTGACTTAGCGAACAGAACCCTGAATTAGGAGGCAAAAGACCAGGGTTTGAGTCTTGGCTCTGCGACCTCCAGTGTGGCCCTGAGCCCAGTTGCTTCCCTGTGCCCCCACCCTCATTTTCGATGACCCAGGGATATTTCGGCTGCGGGGCTCTGGGTGAAAGGCAAGGGGGAGGGGCAGGGAGAGAAGACTAGGACTCGAGAATCTTAATAAAGAAGAAATCCTAATGGGATTTTGTGGAACAAGTATGGTCCTAGTTGGTCTGGTTTGGGCTTCAGAAATGTGGAAAGCTTGGGTGAAGGGGCATTAACTGCAGCTCATCTCGAATGGAGGAAAGCAGGCTGGCTCCTCCTCCCATCAGCTCTCATCCCTGCCTCACTCAAACTGTAACAAGATAAAATAGTCCTTGTTCAAGATCAAGCAGGTGAGCAAGTCTGCCTTGTACATCCTTACTGCCTTTCCAGGTTTACTTTCATTTTTGGTCAGTTGTGTCCAACTCTTTATGACCCCGTTTGGGGTTTTCTTGGCACGTACTGGAGTGGTTTGCCCCTTCCTTCTCCAGTTCCTTTGACAGATGAGGAAACAGAGGCAAACAGGGTGAAATGGCTTGCCCAGGGTCACCCAGCTAGGAAGTGGTGGAGGCTGGATTTGAACTCAGGAAGATGAGTCTTCCTGACTCCAAATCCAGCACTCTGAGCACTATGATGCTCCCGAGCTACCCAATGACTCTCCTTTACCTCCCCTGTTTCAGCAGCACTAGCTGATTTAGTGTCTCCTCTCCATCCCCACCCTACTGACCTGTCTTTTTTATCATCTCCATGCCTTTGCAGAAGTCACTTCATTCTCAGAGGACCCTGCTTTCTCACTTCCATCATCAGGTCCTACATGAAGCCTTTCCTACCCCTTCCCAGTTATTACTGTATCTTCCTCTCCAAAACATTACTTTGTATATACTTGAATTTACTTCTGTGGATTGTATTTCATTCTAATAGAGTATAAGCTTCCTGAGGGCAAGGCCCACTTTCACTTTTGTCTTTATCGCTTATCCCCTGTGCCTACCATGCATTAGGCACTTAAAAATCAATAAACAGGCATTTATTATTAAATTGCCTACTTTGTGCCAGACAAGGGGTCAGACTTGCAGAGGTAGAAAACCTGGGGCCTCGAGGTCACATGTGACCCTCTAGGTCCTCAAGTGGGGCCCTTTGACTTAATCCAAACTTCACAGAATAAATCCCCTGTGAAGTTTGGATTTAGTTAAAGGGCCCCATTTGAGGACCTAGAAGGTCACATGTGGCCTTGAGACCACAGGTTCCCCACCCCTGGAGAGGAACATATATTTAGGGCCAAAAAAGACGTTCAAGGCCACTGGGTCCAACTTCTTCATTTTATAGACACAAGGTTAAGTGACTTGCCCCAGGTTCTACAGCTAGTATCTGAGTCAGGATTTGAACTCAGGTCTTTCAGACCCCTAGTCCAGTACTCCATCCATTATGCCCCCTACCTGCTTCTACAATTTGAACTGGATGGTTTTTTTTTTAAAGTTCAGCTTAAGACTATTCCATCTCTTCTGTTCTTTACCCATTATGACCTTGGACAAATCATAGCACTTCTCTGGCCTCAGTTTCCCCATTTGTAAAATGAGAGGGTTGTTCTACATGATATCTAAGGTTCCCTCCAGCCCTATACCTAGCATCCTTGCCAGGTTCTATCTCTTGCCCATGGGGAACCTAATTAGCAGGTGGAGATGCAGACAGATGTACATGCAGTTGGCCTTGCAGAGGTCCAATCATACTCTTCAACTCCCTGGCTGATCCAGTTAGACCCCAAAGGGACCTCAGGGTCCTCATCTCCAAACCCTTTCTCACGTTTGGTGGTGAGATCAGGATATGGGGCATCTAGGGTATAAGGAAAAAACAAAGATTTGGACAGGAGGCAAGACAGCACAGAGAAAAGATGACCTGGAACCCAGTCCCAGCTCTGCTAACTGACTCACTGTGACTTTATTGTACAAATCACTTAACCTTTCATTTGCCTTTGTTTCCTCGTCTGTTAAATGCAGGCCGTGATCTTTGCCTCACAGGGTCATTGTGAACCTCACAGGGGATGCTGTACGTGCATTCACATCCTAAGCATGGTGTACTCCATAGACACAAGGTGGTGATGTGATAACATCTGGGAGAATGATGGGTAGTGGAGAAGTAATAGGGGTTAGGAAGGAAGGCAATGACAGAGAAGGAAAATGGGTCACGGAAGACAGCATGCTTTGTGGGGGGGGGGAGACAACAGTACAGTTTTCTTGGGCTCGTGCAGTCATTCTTGACACCAGGCTTCCCCAACAATGAATTCAGGCCTCATCAATTACTAAATTCCCTTGTTTAGACCTTGTTTAGGGGGCAGTTTAGTCCACTGGACTTGGAGTCAGAAGACTTAGATTTAATCAGTCAATAAGTATTTATTAAATGCCTTCTAGATGTTATGGATACAAAGAAATGAAACACTCCCTGCCCTCAAGGAGCTTACATTCTGTCATTCAATTCCTGGTTCTTCCATTCACTAGGGGTAT